TGGAGACGTCCAGGGCCGTTCGTCCTTGTTGACTGGGCCGTCTCCAAACTTAGGTTGTGAAGTTTGAGGAACACAAGAAGGTGACAACCTGGGTGTAGCAGTGTAGTTCCAGCTTTCTTGGAGCTCCGAAGGGTCGGCGGAAAGAGCGAAATGACATGCGAAATGACATTTGAAGGATTTCGATCAACTTTGAACAATTGGGATTAACGATACCAAATGAACATGATGCAAGCTGCAGCACCAGGTTGTCCCTGTGTCTATTTGTACCATCCGTGCCACACCCTGCGGCCACGGCCGTCGTCGCACTGTGACCAGAAGACGCGGATCAGTGGTCGCAATAGGAGTCGCAAAGATGGGCGCGACGCGCGGTGCAAAGCAGCTGACTGTACGCGAGATCCCAGACGGTCCCAGTTCCACGACGATCGGTGGTTTTCGCTTGGGAAGAGAGAAAGCGGGCAAGACCTGTCTTTAGCACCCCTCAGCCCTCAGCAGACGGTCGACGGGTCCCGGTCGCCGCAGTGGCGGTCACCCGTGGCCAGACGTCGGCGAGGGGCGGGGTTGATCTTTCTAGCCTTGTCGAGACCCCGGTGTTTCTCGAGACGAAGCAGCTTGTGACCAACTTGTGGCCGGGTGTCCAGATGTGTCTCAATGATTCTCAATGTGTCTCACCCCCCAAATACTCCCCTGACCACAGTGATGTGGTTTGCAATCCCTCACAGGTCGGTCCTCCATGGACCCGCGGTCGAGGCGGTCAATGGACACTCCCTATAAATCCCTATAAGCATCCTGAAAACCCATCCTTCACCCCGTTTCTATCTTTTCTGGACTATTCAAGTACACCGCCCCATAAATGGGCATTTGGCATCCATTTGGCCGCCACATCAGCCCAAATTGCTACCCAAAAAAACGCACCTCCTGGAGCTCTCATTGGGCTGATTCAGCCCATGTCAACACGCACGCGGATCCCATGACGGTTTTCTGCTCAGATGCCCGGGGGCGATGTGGCGGGTTCGGCAGGTGGTCGGGGTTCGCGAGGCGCGACGTGGGGCGAATCGACGTTGAAATGAATGCGTTATATATATTTGAGTATTATGTCAATGCTTCAGCGATGTCATTGTCATACAATGTCATACAGAAATACTTGGGAGATCTTGGGAGATTTTTCGAAGAACATGGGGTTGATGGGGGGGGCAGGACATCCCTAAAAGTGAAGAGCAATTAGAAGTGGGACCCACTGATGAGGCAGTACGGCAGGCTGTACAGGAACAACGACACGTTTTTACATCAATTCTTTATTGCATTTCATTGCTAAAGCAACATGCTGGCCAGAAATTGTGTATAAAAGGGCTTCTCGACCAGAAGATGCTCACCCAGACACTTCTCTCAGCATTTTGAGTAGCAGAGATCCAACAAATTTCAGGCACTTATCCGGACTCTTTCTGTTTTTGTTTTTCGTGTGCATGTCAGATGGTATGGTTTGGGAATGTTCCACCCTGACAGCCAGTGTATGTCGAGTACCTCTTGAGGTGACTGGTGTTCAGGGTGTTGAGTAACATAAGCCGCAACAAATCACTCCCACCGATTTCATCCCTGTATACTCGGTAAGTCTCAGTAATATTCGATCAGTACTCCTCTCAGGTTCTTGTCAATACTATGCTATAAGATGCTATAGGTATTCACATCATCTATGCACCACAATATGTCCCAACAGGTATACAACCATATTCGCAACATGAGTCCCTCGCCAGCCTCCCTCACCTTTCGTCGCTGAGCGGCTGGCGCACTCGCGGCATTGGCTCGCCTGAGCGAGCCAGGTGTCGTTGGCGGCATCGTCCCCCCGGTGTGCATAAGTGGCGGTCATGGCCCACGCCTGAGCTGAAAGACTTGTTACATGCGACAGCTCGTGTTTCTCGGATCTTTGGTAGATCTTGGGAAAAGATGGGGTCCATCAGGTGTGAAAGAAGGGGTGCCAGTTTGTCAGTGCATGACACTGCATTTGATGTGGTCATTCGCGTGCGTAGTCGATTGCTCGATTGTAACAACTTCGAATCCGTAACAAGACTACTATACTGACTACTCCTGATTACTATTACGACCACTATCATCACTATCACTAAGATGCAAGATGCTGGCCCAAATCCGGGGTTACTCAGGTTCGCATTATACTAAGCTACAACATTTGTTAATGGCTCATGTTTCATGAAGTATAAACAATGAACAACTGATCTTGTGTATATATGTTTGCTTGATATCACTCCGCAATATACAATGTGTTTGATGTCGCATCCACCTCAAGCCGACATGGAACAAACACCGGGTGGAACAAACACCGAGGAGTCGGGCAAAACTCAAGGCGAGAGAAGAGTAACACCCCTGCGGGGAACGGGCGAGGTCGACCTGGGCTTGGGGAGTCGATCTCGTGACCGAGCGTGGAGCCACGACAGTGGGGATGCGCAGTTTTGAGGGAGTCGATATTTGTTTAAAATCCATAGGTGACTTTTCGAGCTCTTTCGGTGGTGATTAGTTCACTTGGAATCGGTCAAAATGCATAGTGCGGCATATATAGAGGTGTTTGTTTTTTGGGGTGGAAGAAACGTGGCGTTTTGGCGGTTGAAAAGACCCGAAAACAGCGAGAACTCCGTGGTTGCAACTCGAACGGACTGGCCAGGTTCAAGGCCTTGACATGAACCACAAATCACAGCAAAATGGTATTGGAGCAATGGTATTCTTGACATATAGGATCCAGCAAATGGATCATGGTGAGTTTTTTCCTTCACACAACTTTGAGCCGGATATAACTCAGAAAAAGACAAATTGCTCAAGAACCAGCAGGTGGACGGTCACCGCACCCAGGTGTTTTACATTTGAATGCGGCCAGCCAGTCAATTCAATCAACCACCGCTGCCCCAAAACCACTGTGGATGGTTTTTTATCCCCACTGTTCTCCACAAACCACAGACGCTGCCAAATCAACATGGAAGTCGATCCCTTGATCGACGTCAGCGACTCATGGCGCGCTTCGATGCTTGGATGATGCGACTCGTGTGTTCGACCCGGGTCGAGTTCGTTGCCGGTTTGGTTTCCCAGACCATCCAGGTATGGACCTATGGAATGATTAGATAAATTAGCTAGTATACATTACATGCAAATTGTCATATGGGAGCTGTTCGAAACCCCTGGTATAGAGACAGGCTTTAGAGAAGACATGTCAGAAAGATTGATGAGTATTTTGTTTTTACCTGGTAGGCGGAAGAAGGCGCAAGGGCGAGCGCAAGGTTATATATATATATATTATATCTATCTACTAGTATACTACAACTACTGCTACTACTACTCCTACTGCTACTGCTACTCCTACTCCTACTCCTACTACTACTACTACTACCACTACCACTACCACTACCACTACCACCACCACTACCCCTACTACCACTACCTGCTACTGCTACTGCTACTGCTACTGCATTCCTTCCTTCCTTCCTTCCTTCCTTCCTTCCTTCCTTTCTTCCTCATTTTTTACCTTGATCCCTTCTTTCCTTCCTTCCAGGGGACCAAGGGGACCAGGACGACCATGTCTTCGTTGGGCTGGTAATTGTACATGAATGGTCTGGGCTATTTCAAAACGTCCTTACTTATACATATATATATATATTTATACATTAATTTAAATACTACACACCCAGTTACACACCCATTTGATCCCATTGCACTTTCACTTGCTTGGATTCTGGGGCGATGACATATGGCTTTGCGTTGTTTTTGATATCTGAGAGCCTGAGTGACCCTTTTTGGAGTTTTTGATGTTTCTTTGCGCAAAGGGGTCAACTGGGTTCTATATGTTGATGGTATTCATCAATAGCCGTGGATTTTTGACTACTGGTGTGAAGGCCTGAATTAAATGTATAGTAGCAATGGATCTAATGCTGTGTGTATGATTTTCCCCGGATCATGGTTCCTTAAGCCATCAACCCAGAAACATTTATAGTTCATTGTGGCCTAAGGAGATCCAGCCGGTTGCGAGGATATGCGGTCGGAGGTGCCGCCGGGGTTTCTCGGCTTGTTAAGTTCTCAAAGGTTTCTTTTGGCAGAGGGGATTTGCCATGGAAATCATTGTTAATGACGGCCTAAAAATGGGTCAGACCTGGGTTACAGAATAGGTGCCTCGAGTGATGGTTTCGGTCTAAGAGATGTCTAGAGGAAAAGGTTCCTATTATTAGACCTGGACAAGACCCTGCACATCCGTGGTTCAAGTTCTTCCCCAAGTTTGCGGACCTCGTTGGGACCATTTCATTCCAGGAACATTTTTTCAACTTGAGAAATAGGATGCTCAAACCCTCCAAAAAACATCCAAAAACCTTCTTTCTACCTCGCTGTTGGCCACAAATCGTTGCTTTCTTGGGCCCGTTTTCGGATGCTCATCGGCGACCGTTTCGGAGGAACCACCGCGGCTTGTGACGCCGGCGAGAAAATGGACAAAACATATAACTGGCACTTGGATTGAGTGAATGTGTCTCACGTGAAAAAATCATTATTCAATCCAGCAACCGGCAAAGATGACAAGAGTCATGTACACTGATCCGAATCGATGTTAACACGTGGGAAGTCGTCAACGACTCAGATCTCCACATGCCAGAGGGCCCGAGACTTCTCTTCTAGAGTTGTTTGGTAACTACAACGGAACAACAACAATTTCTTGCACTTCCAGTTGCAGCAGCAGGCACATTGGTGTTTGTTGCAATGTAGTTTTGTCCCAGCCAAATGCCTACAAGCACATGTCAGCCATGCAGATGTGTCCAATGTATTGAGGGTCTATTTTTTTGGGTCGCTGACAGCGGTAAGAACAGAGGGGGTTGTATTGAGCCTGGTGAGTACATAGTCCAAACCTCATTTGGTTCCTCCTTTTGCAGTGCTCATTCCGCCCAGGTCTTCAGCCGAAAGGTATTGGTTCGCATGCTCTTCAAACCCACACGCACCTGCGCTGTTCCAAGGTCTTGGCATTGATGGTTCTGTGTTTTGCGCCTCGATCTGATGTGCTCCGGGACAACGACTCTGTCAGACCTGCACGTCTTTATTTCAGCGGCGAGCACATCTTGCTGCATCGGCAAGTGGGAAGCTCTGTCTTGGGAACCAGTGGTGACTTGGATGTGTGTGAGAAGTTTTGGGTGATGTGATGATTTCTCTCTTTGGGACATTTTTTGGGGTCCCAGTTCCAGGGTTTCTTTTGAGGCAACTCTTAAAAGTTTGTGCATCTACCTAACACACAGACAAAGACCTCTATATTAAATAGCTGAAAAAAAATATATCAACATAACAAATATATGGCGGTGGGTCAAAACGGCCCTTTCTGACCACGGAAAATTCACGGAATAGACTGAGGTTAACCTACCAGGGTTTAGGGCTCCGGGCTTTGACCAACACCCACTAGATATTGTGATCTGTTGATCGCAGCTTTCGGGAACCTTTTGTTTGTTTGAACCTAAAACTGAGCCTGCTCAACCAAAACGATAGACTTCGCATTTGCCTGCTCAACTTGATCACTGGGTCAGTCAAATGTTTCCAGGCAACCGCGATGTTTTGCTGAGCCTTTCGAACATCTCCAAGGACGACCTGCCCGTTTCACGCGGTGCCAAGCGACGTCCAACGGTGCGTTTCACGGCAGTTGACCATGGCCGGTGGTGCGTTTCGGAGTTAGTCCGCAAGTCCAGAATCCGGTGGCTCACCGTTTGGTTTTAATAGGAACCCATGCCAGAAACCTCGACCAACGACGACCAAAAGACGAAGAGTGACCAAGAAACGACCTTTTTATAGTGATTCGCTCTTTGCAGGATGAGAAGGTCATCAACAAGCTCCAGGATGCTGTCCATTGGCCTCCGGAGAAGCTCCTGAACGAAGGTCGCTCGGCGGGCCGAACGAGCGTCGCGACTCCGTTTTTCGTGGTCGGTCGGTCCCCCCCGTGTCGGGCGCCGTGGCGCGGCTGGAACCGTGGGTTTTTCCGGATGCCTGGAGCAGAACATGTTCCTCTACCATTGGCTTCAAGTATCTTCAAGTGATCCACATGAGGATGTTCTGCTCCAGTCATTGCTTCCACCAGGATTGTTGAGGATGTTCTTTCTTGGATTCGTTTCAAAGGCATTTCATGGTCACAGGCGCGTTTTCATGCGTTTTCTCTTTGCAGACACCCAAGGGGTCCAGCATCCAATGTCTATGCCTTTCGATGTTCGGACTCGAGAAAGCGAGAGGCACCTTTAAATCGCCAGGCAAAAAGAAGTATACCATATGGACCATCAGCCTAGCATTGGCTCCGTCGCAAAGGACATTTCGCTCTCCCCACAGACTCGGTTCGGCCGGACGCGCAACTCGACCAGACTTCGTGGGACTCGACCGGATTTGAGGCAAGGACTGCTGGGAGCCTTGTGGCAATGTCTCGGGCGATTGCGCCTGGTGTGGCAAGGGCAACGCCTGTTGCCGCTTCAATGCAGAATTCGACCCTGAGGAGTGCACAGGCCAGAAAAGCTGAGTGAGTTGAACGCTGACTGAGGAGCAAGTGATTGGAAATGACCGGAAAGGCAAACAAAATTGATCAAAATTGCTAGAGCCGCTTGAGTGTGTGGCTGTCCAGGAATTACTTTACTTCGAGTGATCCCCACCATGACACTTCAATAATCTTCAATCAGTTGTTTTCATGCCATGGTTAAAAAGAACAAAAATATGTTGCCATGGTGGAGATTTTGTGCTTGTCGATTTTGGTTGTGGGTCCTCGGGTTTGGGGTTGTTGTGTTAGTGTTGGGGAGTTCGCGTCGGGGTGTCGCCAGGGTCTACAGCTGGCATTCTATCCAAAGTGCAACCCTGTGGACCACCTGCCACGCAAAATGCTTGGCGTTGCGTTGCACTGGGTGGTGTTTTATGTGTTGTGTTTTTGTGGCTATGGTCCATGGTTGTTGTGTGCTGTGTGCTTATTTAGGGCTGTGTTTGTGGTGGTGTATTGTTTGTTGTTGTGTGTTGTGTTTGTGGTTGTGTGTTTGTTGTGTGTTGGTGGCTCTGTGTGCTGCTTGTTGTTGGCCGTGTGTCGTGTGTTTGTGGTGGTGTTTTGTTGGTGGTGATTTTGTGGGCTGTGTATTGTGGGTTGTTGTGTGCTTTGTGCTTGTGGTTGTGGATGTCCGGGAGTGTGCACTAGCGATCTGGCGCTTGCTGTTGAGGTCCGAGACTGCCCACTGCGATTGATCTGGCGCTTGATGTTCAGGGTCCGGTATAGTATAGTGTCCACTGCGATCTGGCGCTTGGTGTTGAGGAGGAGGACGAGGAGCAGGAGTGGAGTGCAGTGGAGGAGGAGTTGCGGCGCCACAGTTAAGTATCTAACAGCCCTCACCTGACAGGTGGGGAAGAAACAGCATAAAGCTGGTCTTGGTGTGTCGTGCTGGGCTCTTGGATCGGAGGGACACTGGAGCTAATCCATTTTGCGCCCCAAGCAGTCAAACTTCGAGAGCCAGCCACTGCCTTGGCTTATATATTCATATAGAAGCATATATTCGGTGGCTCACAGAATGTTTCTGTAAAGAAAAAGAGCCCTTCGCTCGTTTGCAACATGTGTGCTTCGTGGAGCCCGCAACCCACATCTTCAAAAAGACACGTGGCTCAACCTGCTCGCTGTGTCTCGCCATTCTCATCGCCAATACGCCCACAGGATTTTGATCTCCAAACCAACCCACCATAAATTCACCTCTCTCCCATCATCGTGGGGGGCTCCAGGTATCACCGATTTCACCGTGAAGGACCGCCATACCTGCGTGACGCCCGTGGCGTACCATGCCTTGAAACATCGGAAACAAGTGCCTTGGACCGTGACCGTTTGAACCGCTGAGGAGTCAGAGTAGGAGTCGGGTGTTTTTGCCACGACACGCCTCGGGAAGAACGAAGTTAAGGGGAAATGTCATTTATGTGGTGGAAAATTCGTAACGATCTTAGAGTAGAAAACAAATTGATCGATGCACACGTCCATTTTGAGGTAGGTTTTGAGATTCATGCTCTCAGCTCTCCTGCCCAGTTTCTGAGGAGTGCTGGTCGCACTGTGGGAAGTCTGGCTATTGCAACTGGTGTGGCAAAGGCCAAGGGTTGAGTGACAGCCCTTCTTAGTCAAGTGGAAATCCAAAACAACTACTGCACACTGGGATTCCTTGCGTATGACCACTATATAAATCTACTACCACCACCATGAGAACCTTTGCTTCAAGGGTTCATCAGAACCACTTGCCCTGTAATGACAGGCATCAAACTACCGTATGCACGTGCGCAGTCGATGCCGCAGGGAATTCCTGTTGCATGCAAAGCGGTGCTTCCTGGGATTCCACTGAATGTCATGGTGCCTTCGGATTTCACTTGAAGAACAAGCATGAGTGTGTCGCTTGGCACTGTCGTTGCATGTCGTTGCTACTGTTCACTCATGGACAGTATGGAGTTTGCAGATGTGTCCAGCCGGTTTGCAAGTTTGTTGATACTGTGGCTGTGACCCAACTCTTCCCAGCTCCACTCATTTTGCACGACACTGCGGATATCGTCCAGTTTCCACCGGGTGGTTCAGCGGGATGGTTGAGCCATCACATTTGGCAGTGCTGTGTTGGGCCCTTCACATTGGTGTCCGGCTTCTCCCTAGGTCGCCACGCTGGGCGAGTGTCCTTTCCTGGAGGAGCCAGACGGCTATGGTGGCTGCCGAAAGCCGGCCCAGCCTCCAGCATTGACCTTCTACATGTACAAGGACCGACGGGACTGTTGGAAGTCCTCGCAACATCTTGCAACTATTATTTCTTGGGCGGAGCATGCTGCAAGTGAGTGTTTGGGTTGTTTTTTTGGACAGTTTGTCATTGTGAAGAGATCCTAGCTCTTTTGGCATCCACAGTTGTTTTTGCTTTGCCCTGGTGTCAAAATTCACTCGTGCATCGACCAGGCAGCAGGGCCCAACTGGCCGGTGGAGCTCAATCAGAGTGGCAGCATGGGTCGCTGGGGTCGCCATCGCCTCGGCGGTCCGTCGATTTCGAGCGGTTCAGCGACGTGTTGGTGCCGACGAGAGGATTGTGCAGAGGCCCTGCTTAAAGCTGGGAGCAGTATTGCAAGGATTATACTAGAGAGTTCTATGCTTGGTGCTCGAACGTGGGAGGTTCAGATTCCAGGTTCAGGTGCGATATTTGGGAAGTTCAGGCTCGTTTGGAGGGGTTTCCCAACCTTCATGATTCATGTTCTTCTTTTCGGGTGTTTCCCGCATAACTTCGATTCGATGGTCCATCCGTTCCAGAGTTGTCCCACATGTCCCCACGTTTGAGACACAGCCATACCAGGCTTCAGGTGCACCCCAATTCACCTGCTTCAGGAAGGAAGATTCCCAAAACATCCAAAAACAACTTAGTCTGATTCGTGCAGGATCCACTCAAATTACTCTCGTGAAAAGTAGCAGGGACCTTGAATATGGATCTCAGGGAGGCTATGAACCATTTTCCTCAACAAAGCAGTGGGTGTCCACTCGCACCGTCACCCAATGATTAGTATATATATATATATATTCACTTTTAACTGACTCTACTATACAAAAGTTTTTTGAATGGAGTAATGACCTTCATGAACTATATACATATTATAAATAGCAGTGTGTCCGATGCTGGTGACTTGCGGTTGTTCCGCTCTGAGGCAGTTTGTCCGGTGTGATGTGGCCCCTTGTCGGATGAGCAGAGGCAGATCCCGATTCGCAAGCAATCAGCATTCGTCGATCCCCAGGGATCCGATTGTGAATATTCTGAGCCGACACTGAGAGACAGGCACTCGCGCGACACGCTTCGATTGTTCGAAAACGTCCGACATCCCAGACACTCCATGTATGCCATATATGTTTGAGGGGTCATTGTAGGCATATATGGCACGCATGGAGTGTCTGGGTTTGATTTGTTTGCGGTGTACCCGAATTTCTGAAGGGAAGCCATAGAACAAACATGTTTGGCGGACAGTCCGAGTCCAATCCGTGCATTTCTACGAGTCAACTGGGATGGGATGGGACTTGCGAGCTTGGAGCTCGGAGTGCAATCCTCGGTCCTGACACTGAAATCTCATCAAGCTATTATTTTCATCCCGAATCCCACCCCAAGCACCAAGCCTCCAGGAGGTGGCTGGGGCTCTTAGTGATTTGTTTATGTCTGTATCATTTGCACATATTGGCACAAAAAGTTGAGAAAGTCGAACCATGAGTGGCTGATAAGCAATGAATTTGCATGTCCTCACACCTTGATGAGTTCCTTCTCTTCTTTTGGGGGGGTAGCGGGATACCTACCATGATCGGATGATGCGGGGGAGATCTTCAGCTTCTCGTGCCGGGAAACGGGCGAGGTATCTCCACAACGACATTGTGGTGCACTGCCCTCGCACTCATGGCATTGACCGCGCGAGGCCTCAGAGTGAAAGGTGGATGTGAAAGGACACCCCTTTCGGAGGCCGGCTTGGGATGTCCTGGACACGATCCTGGTGTAATTACGCAAGGCCGGCTTGGCGGTAGCTTCCCATTCCGTTCCGGGATTTGGTGACGCTTTCGTCGGAGCTTTGTATCTATGTTTACAAACATATTATATGTGATTTTGGCTTGTATATGGAGAGGACAGGAAAAGCCTACAGCCTTCCAAGGAGAAGACTGACCAATTATTGACTTCAAAATGGAGGAGCTTTCAGTTCACTGTGAAGTGAAGTATCAAACATATACGAAACATATCACCAGGTTTGGGAGACTGCATTTGTTGGCAAACACCACGGGACTTTTTGCCTGCTACTCGTGCGGGGGAGCAAGATGGATCGCCAATTCTGCTTGGAGAAGCCTAAGTCACTATTTGATGTCTTATCAGTATCATGTTGCCAATACAAAGAGAGAAACCAATGTTCAGTTTCTCAGTTAACACCACATGTTTGTTCTTTTTGTTGCTCCACATCACAGTTCACGCGTTGCTCCTTTGGGTCACATGAACGGTCCTTTTGGGCCGCGGGACCTCGGCGCGCGGAGCCGCGGTGGGGCCGCACTCTGCGACCCGAGGCATTCGGAGATACATGGTGACCTTGAAGCCCACCGAGGTGGGTCGTTCTGTTGGGACCGACCGTGCCGGGGGGAAGAACACCACACAGGAAGAATGGCGCCAATGGCGCCACAGGCAAGTGGGCATGCATGTATTTCACCACACCATGTTTCACCATGTTGGCGCATGCGCCATTACGGGATGTGTTTCCCGCAAGTGGGCCAATGATTTGTCTTGGAGGCTTGGATGTCCATCTGTTGAATTGTTTGCCGAACCGTTGCCGGGTGGTTTCGAGTTGAGCTTTAGGTGCAGGTTTTAAACTTGTACTGCTGCAGACAGGTGTTTCACACTGATCACACAACTATACGCAACCCATATTGGGAACACTCCCCCCAACAGCCCAAACTCTACTGGCTTTCAATCCCGATTTGGACGCACTTCATGTGTTCCGGCGACATTGTCAACCGCATGCTGAAAGTGCAAAACCCTTTCTTGGCTCAAAGCAATGTGCGGCCAAAGACTTTGAATGGCTACATGTATACATTTTGCTTTATCAGCTGCTAACCTTTGCCGGGCCAAGGTAGTATGTGGGAAGGAGACATGGTAAGGCACGTTGATATTTGATTTGTTTGTTTTAATCCAGGGAGTTCAGTGTGTTCGTTATTCTGTATTATATATCAAAACAAATCCAATTCCTGGCTTGTTGACCTGCATCGCTGAATACTAAGTGTCATGACCGGTCATCCTCACTTGAAGGCCCAGGTCCCACTATTCAAGGCCAAACACTCCATGTATGGCATAATTAATGATATTGACCGGCCTACACTGGGGTGCCCTGAAAGGAGCATACGGATTCCACAGTTGCTTCTTTCCTTTTTTGATGGTTGTGCATGTCGGTGATCGTGTTTTCTACTGTGGAAGCTGGACGGGCACACGGCCCTCAAGTGGATTACAGTATTTTGGAGAGGCCGCATATGTCTGGCAGGTGGGCATAAACAAAGAGCTGCTTCTGGTCTTCTCAGATGGCTGCTCGCGTCGCACCAAAAACTGGTCTCGCGCAGAGCCGCCCTTGCCTGGAGGCTTTCGGAAATCCCAGTGGGCTTACTATGCTGGTCATAGAGTAGATTCGCATTCAGGCATTGAGTTATTTGGTCAGCTGGTACAAGTTCTTGGCCGGGTTGATTCTGATGGCAACGATGTTCTGGTGCGGCTGGAATCCGGTCTAGCATTCAAGACTTTGCATGCTCGACTGCGCCGGGAAGTCCCCCGCCATACAGGGGGCTTCTATTTGCAGCAAGAAGTGTACTACACTGGGTTCCACGTGGCAAAGCACTCAAGTCATCGGACATCATACTACGGCCATACGGCAGTGATCTCAGGCTTCCTGCCAGGGTCGTCTTGTGTTCGGCTCACATTTAGTGATGATCTTCGATTGCGGACTTGCAACTTCTCATTGGCAAAGCCGAAGATACTCGAAAGCAGCAGCAGCAGCAGCAGCAGCCGCAGCAGCCGCAGCAGCAGCAGCAGCCCCAGCAGCAGCAGCAGCAGCAGCAGCCGCAGCAGCAGCAGCAGCAGCCAGCAGCAGCAGCAGCAGCAGCAGTTTCAGTGTGGGTGATGAAGTGTACTACGTGGGCTCAGCGAAGGGCCTCTTTGGCAAGCGTGCTGCTATCAAGGGTATCATCCCAGACAAGACCAATGGTGTGCTTGTGGAGTTTCGTGATGGAACAGCGCGAAAAACCACAGTTGCTTGTCTCCAGGCCCAAAAGCCAGTTCCGCAACCAATGCAGTCACAGCTGAATTTCCAACCACAGCCTCGACCAGGCAGTCAAGTGGTCCGCGACCTTTCTGCGCGGCTGCGAAGGTTGAGTATTTTTTCTGCAGATGGTGACACTGACCGACTTTCTCTTCGAGACATTTTCTTTACCCAAGACTCAATCAAGAACAGCTTCCAAGATGGTCGCTCGCTGGGGCAGATGGTCTGGGAATTGCAAAGTGGACAGAGAACCCTCGCAGATATTCCACGCATCACTGTGGTGAGTCACCTGGGAAGATGCTTCTCAGTTGATAATCGTCGCCTGTGGGTGTTCAAGCAAGTCTTTCCTCCGACTGTAAACATTCCGGTGAAGTGGGGAATCCAGGATCACAGGTTTTGGAACAAATTGACCACCAATACCGAGGGCACAGTCATACGGATCAGGTGAGGACTGCAATTGAATGCTCAGATGCTGTTTGTTTTTGCTCCTCAGGTCCTTTGTGCAGGACCATTGAAGTTCAGATTTGTAGTCAAATATACGGAACTTCAGACTTTTTCAATCAGTTTGCAGTTTGCCTATACAGATGTGAATTGCAAGGTCTCTCACAATCTTTGACAAGTGACGTCAGACGGAGAAAATTGGATGCGTCCATCATTTTCTGTCGAGAGCATCCAGGAAATAGCGGCTTTGGTCACTGCCACGTGCGTCCTCGGGCGCCAATCCGATCGTTTGGCCGAACACATCCCGTTTTGGTTCCGTTCTTCTCGTACCTCGTGCGCGCGACGGGGCCGGGCCAGGCTCTTTTCTACAAGACTGGCAAGGTCTTCGACCGTGCCTCGGCGTTCGAAGAAGTCTTTCTGTCTACTCTCGGGAATGCTTGTTTGCTTCCCCAACATGAGGCGGTATGGACCGGTGTGATGTTCCATTTTCGAGGGACAGCGTGGAGATATGTTTTCGCAGGAAAAATGTTATGTTATATTTATATTCCAAACTTGTTCTGAGTTTGGGTTCTATGTTCAAGCAAGGGTAGCTCTAAACACATTACTGTAACTATATACCTAATCATATTCCTAAACTTGTATATATATATATAAGGTATAGCCGGGTATAGGCCATTACCAGCAACAGTTGGAGGAAAGTCCTTACTCAACAGCATCATCCACTATGACTGGGAATGGGATATACCCAACCTAAATACTACCTTTGTGGAGGTAGTTAGAGCCTCTGCAGTGGGGATCATTCCTTGATGTTCTTCGCTTCACAGCCGGTCAGCTGGTGCCCCAGGCTACGTGGAATATCAGAACGTGTCTGGTCGAACGTATTGCGAGCGAACATGGTTGCGATGAATGACAAGACGGAGGTAGCATAATGGTGCATAATGGTAACATAATCTGTTTAATATGCATATGTGATACATATATATATATATGTAAATATGTGATGATGTTTTTTTGGGCATACATAATAGAATACTTGAAGATGCGAGGTAGATTACTTCAAGTGATGACCCCTTGCTCTATATACGTACTTCAGGACTCCAGGTATAGATGACACCCATGGGATCATTAATTTGTAGCACCGCTGTCCACTGGAGTCTGACCCCGGCTTTGTATCTCTGGGAATTGGGTGGAGCCCCAGATACACAGGGAAGTCACGAAGGCTGTCCTCTGGAAGCATCGGACCTGTTGGCTCTGGGTCTCACATTTTGTTGGGCGAGAGTAGGGGGAGCCGTTGATGAAGGCCTAGAAGTGTTGATGGTCACAATAAATGAGTAGGAGAGTTTGGTTGGTTGTTGCGAAGCGTAAATTACCATGCAGTCTCAACAGGTTTGTTTGTTTCCTCATACTAGATCAATCACGTTTGTGACATGCATGGTGCTCAGAGAGAGAATGCAAAGATGGGAAGAATAAGTGACCCAGACTTGCACTTTGCTGGTTCGGAAGCACAAATCAGCTCAAGTCTCGTGCCCACATGGGGACGTCCGCATAAGCAGAAGAACCATGAGACCAGCGTTTTGAATTCCAGCATTCACCTGTCAACCAAGGCGAAAGCCAAGGACCTGTCCACAAGCCAAGAGCGTTGGTCCAAGCAGCTTGGCAGCTTTGAACCACTCTTCACTTCAGTACCTTCAGAAATCCACGTGAACATCAAACAACGCGGTTTGCCCAAATGACACGAACGCCTGACAGGATCAAAAGACGAGTAGGCCAAGGGGCCGCAAGCGGCCAAGCTTGAATTGACCAAACAGATGCCAGCAGCGGTGTGACAGGTATGGGTACAACCCAGGCTGTTTGCACGTGGATCGCCACAAGGACAGGGCCGCTCAGATTGCATGGTGGCGTGAAGTCTGGACGTGAGATTGGCATGAAGTCCACTGGGCACGGAGGAGGATTATTTTCATGTGCAAAAGTTTAGTGTTCACTTGGAAATAAACGACACTAAACATCATTTAGTCTATAAACTATACATTTACTGTAGTATAGTGTTCATGATGGTAGGGAGGGATCAACGTTGCCCGAACTCTACGATGGACACTTCGGGGAATCCCCGAATGCCCGCGAGGAGACGAGTCAATTGATCCATCAGGAGAACCACAAAACCAGTGGCATCCAGCTGTGTCCCTGTCCCAAACACTCCATGTATGTCATATTTGCCTACCTTGACCCCTCAGAAAGGTATCACCCCATGTATGTAAAGTATGCCGCGCATGGGTGTTGTTTTGCAGAACAATTGTCGAACGGATCCCAACGGGTGGTGGTCAGCGATGGCCGTACAACGTGGGACAGGGCGGAGGATGGTGACCCAGGATGGTGTGCGCGGCGGCTGACAGTGGAGACATCGCAAAAAGGATGTTTCCTGCAAGACGTCATAGAACAAACATATATAACATATATATATATAGAGTTATATTACAGTATCTTATGTGGACTCTGGATTATTATTTATGGTCTTTGCAGATACTGCCCAAAGACCTTCCCGCCCGGTTTCAAATCATCGTTCTACCGCCTGGGGGGTTTTGTCTCGCTGTGCTTTTCAATGTCATGGCCAGAGAGGCAGAGTTCAGATTCCGACAAGGCAGGCATTGTTTGTGATGGCGTTCCAGCCTTCTGTCGTTGAAGAGGGCACTGAGTTCAGCTCTTGAGGGGTTTTATCAACATCGTTTCAGAACTGGGGGTCCCACCTTTGCGAGTGTTGCGCTAGCTACACAAACGCTCGAGGAAAATAGGTTGTGATGGTGCGCTTGGAGACAAGTTTTTTTTCACGTTGATTTGCATTTGTATATATTCATATTCACTGAGTAAAACATATGATATGTGATATGTGACTATGTTTTTTCTTGGGAACTGAACCGGTCCAGTGACCAAAAAAAATATAGATCAATGGATTGGTGGGTCTTCGATGCTGTCTCTGGAAGACTCTTGAATCCCTTTTGTGTGTCGGTGGAGCTTCACTGGTGGTGAGAGCAAAGTGGTTAAATCCAGTAGAGCAGGGGCATCCCAAACTCCTGCCTTCTCTCGACACTCCACCAGCCTGAGATAAAGTCTCCAGGTCATTTGCTGAATTTGCAAAATGAGTCGGCAGAGTTCCATTTGCTGGTTTTTCGTCCAACGCCCCCAATCAAGACCCACTCAGTTCAAAGCACTTGTTATTTGAGCCACGGCGGCCGTGGCATTGAGGCTGCCTATGCAGATGCCATTTGGTACTCTATGCCGGGTAGTTGCCCTTCAAAGGACCTTTGGAGCATCTTGGTGAATGTATGGAAGATGGCGGCACCAGTTGATGACATCAACATGCAACTGGAGCATGTTCAGTCTTTAAATTCCTTGACAGTATAATGGTATATAAACAGGACACAGAGTGAATGGCCACGCCAAGATGATATGGCTCCAGATTGTGCCATGGTTCCTTCGGTTCCTCCCATGCGGACCCTCAGGTAGCACATTGGCTTGCATGAAACGTGAGCCTGGAGGCTGGTGCAAGAATCCCAATGGACGCTTGGTGGCCGCGTATTTGGTTCGTGGCCACGGTCAATGAAAGGAAGAAGAGATGCAAGCCAGGGACACTGGCATAGTCAGAATGTATTGTGTTAAGGCAACCCTTGGCATGCCCCAAAACATGTTGTATATACTGTTGTTGTTCTTTTGCCTTTTGCAATAAGTTTTGGACGCACAAACCTGGCAATTACTGTGCAGGAACCATTTGCCCAAGCGAATCTGTCAGTCGAGAAATGCTCCGCATTGAAATATCGCAGCGGATGACGACTTGAAATCCAGATACGAACCCCCAAAGAGGTGTCAGTGGTGTCCATCTCCAAGGTTAGGCCAACTGCAGGAGGATCGCGCCATGTTAGAATCTTTGTGTGAAATCGTGCCTGATGGGAACATAGGAATCGTGCGTAGAAATCGATGACCATTTTCTTTGCAGATCCCGAGAATCAACTCATGGCTCAAATCCGAAGGACTCTTGATGGCCAATCCCGGCCTTTGATCATGTTCTCCACACTTTACGGGTCACCGAGGGACAAGCTCTTGCACGTGGAAAGCCGAGTACGCTGGAGAGGCTGGTCCACAGAGGGGGCCAAACGCGGAATTGGGGCACCTCCCAAGAAGTATAATGAAACAACCCAACCGTAACTTTGATGTTCTTCCTGAAGCAGCGCCTTTGGCTTTGTCATTATCACCTCATGAAACATCGAAGCTCGCGAATTGCAGCTTTGCTGTGCAGATCTTTCTGGACGAGCTGGTTGGAATTGTGGACTATGAATCTTGGCGACAGCTTGGTGGAATTTGAACAGCTACTATGAGCTACCTGTGTTCAACATAGGCTTCCACAATCCCTCATACGCCTAGGCGCCTACCAGGGGCGCCTACTCAGGTGATGTTGTTTCGGACGTTAGGTGCACCGGGTGGTTTGGGCCATCCCATCCCTGGTGCTTTGGACCCCATGGCTGGTGGATGCGTGTTTGTTCTTCCGCCCCCCCACCTTCATGGCGGTAGAACAGACCCACCTGACCCAGGCCACTTTTTGTAGCTCCGGACACTATGAGTTCGACCTGGAGACCGACGCCGGGATCGGCAACGACTTCTGGAACCAAAAGCTCAATGTCGCGGCCTGCAAGTTGCGCGTCCAGCGCGCCCACCAGTTGCCGCTCGAAAACCAGGATCGGTCGGATCGAGCCACAGTGTGGAGTCGAAAGGGTTTCGACACTCATGGGCTGTTGTGAGCAGGACCTCGCCCGATTTGACTCGACAAACAAAATCCAAACAAATCCCATTTTGGTATACATGTTTTGTATGATGGATGACAATGAATGAACACTATACCAGACGAATCAAAAGGGCGTCTAATGATTTTTGATGTTCACCTATCTGCAAGGAGCGTCTAATGAGCACCCCGTAAAATCAAGAATGATGGAATTACATAAAAGAAAATAATGTTTTCAATGTGAAGATGGGTTTCCAACCTGTCCATCCCGGGTCTCGCTGTCCCACCCTCACTGCCGCGGTCCGCGGCCAACCTCTGCATCTTTCTCTTCGAGAGGGCCGAGAGTCAAGAAACTCTGGCATGGATTGGACCGCTGTCAGCGTTCCATTTTCACTGTGGATTATGACTAACTGCAAACCCTGTGACTAAGTGTGTGTTTGTGTGTGTGCATGTGTATATATAATATATATATACCTCACGCGTCGGACGATCTGCGTCGACGGTATGACAGATACTCTGATCTGATCATACACTGGAACCCCTCATGCACAGGTGACAGAGAGCACAGCCAACAACTATACATCCAAAAAGGGACGACGCCAAGACGCAATAGAGCGTCCAGCGCCACTGCGCAAGGTGCGCGCAAGTGTAAAAAGGGAATTCTGGGACAAAAACGGGGCTGCATCAACAATGGCACTCTGGCACAGCGTGCGGCCCTGAGATTTGACAAATCTGGCATTGAAAATGCCTGGACAAACCTGAGTACGATCATCCTGCATCAAAAACTGAACAGCATGGCGAATGCGGCAGGTGACACTGTGTATGGTAATCACAGCGTAGTCACCACGGACTCTGAAACCTGCCTCATGAAATGCAATGCTCAATTCGCAGAACGCAATGGCTTCACCTTTGACCTTGCGCCACCTTAATGATGACAGGAAGGCACAAATTGCTCGCCAATCTTCTACATGGTGCCTCCATTTCGCTGGAGGAGGGAGTTCCGTGGGAAGCTTTGGTTTCCAGTTGTACTGAAATTGGATGCTGTCCCATGGCCACTTTGGGAAAGCATGTCGAGCAGCAGCAACTGTATACTCTTCTGCAGGTGCATTGTTTTCAATCTCAATTGTCTCATCGCCTTCAGTTGTAGTATCAAGATGCACGTGCAGGCGCACCAGCCATTCCTGATGCAGAGTAGCAGCCGCCTGCATAATTCGTGGCATGTGCACATACACCGGGGTGATCTTGGCAGCACATTGTTTGGCAGCTCGATCAGCTTGACGGTTCCGCATGATGTGCTCGACAGTGGTTCCCTTCTGAATGACTGCTATCGGGTCTAGTTGCCATTCTTCTTTATCTTCGAAGAGGTGAGCAGGTATCCACTCTAGCAAACACGGGTTCGCATGTTGGAGGCGACGTTCTGCCAAAAGATCAGCAATTGCACGCCACCAATCTGCGCATTTCCAATAATGTGGGACATGCCCTGTACGGGAGAGTTGCTTGAAGCTCTTCACAACCGCCTGGTTGTCGCAATAGATACAAACAGGAGCTGTAGATCGAGAGAAAGTGACCCAGATAGCCCACAGCTCCGCAACAAAACTAGATAAATGCCATCGCATGAAGCGGCCTCGATGAATCACACATCCGACCTTGTCAACTGCAGCAAAAGTAGCTGTTGTAAGCCAAAATGATTCTTGATGGAGTACAGAACCGTCCGTCCAAATCTCTACCATGTCATCAAGTGGACAGAACACAGCTGCGGAATTGTGGTCGGCGATTTCACTTTGCAGTCGAAACTGTGCCAATCTGCGGGGATGCTCGACAATTCCTAACAGGGGAAAATTTAAGCCGAGCTCGTGGAGTACGGGTGTACTGACAAGTTGATGGTATTCAGAGCACTCATACACCAAGTGGCGTAATGTCTCCTGCTGTGCATGACAAAAACGACATTGATTGGACGAACACCACCCCGCAGCGTATAATCTATCCCTAGTCAAAGTGCAGCCAACGATGGCTGACTCTGCATGCACGCAGGACGTGGGAAAGACAGGTGTATGAAAGGTGGGTTTCCGCAAAAACAAGGTGGAAGCATGAAAATCAAGTAATCCCCCTGGTTTGACAAAGTCTTTACGCGCTGATGAACCAGCAAGTTCATATGTCGCCTGGCGTGCAATCTGTTTCAATGATGCTGCAACATCACCTGGTGGTGTGATACCTAATTGCAATGGGCCAGAATCGCCAAAGAAGACTTGCATGTGTTGGTTAAGTCGGAGGTTAAAGACTTTACATGCATTATCAAGCGTCAGGCATAAGGAGAACTTGAGTTGATGGCGAGTGTGCCACAGCAACCTAAGTTTCGGAATGGCTTCCGGGCAGTCAAAACAGTATCGGGCGATGTCCACGATAGTGTTGAAGGCATGCGCTAAAGTTGGCTCCGTGCGGTGTGGTTGTCCATGGAATAAGTGCACCAGCCTTTTTGAACGTGCCATGGGTCTGCCGCGCCAAATGGCTTTACAAATGGCACTTTGGATCTTTTGCATTGACAACTTAGGGATGCGTGAAATATGCGCAGCATAAGTGATCATGGGTACAACCTTGGCCCCGACCAAGAAGGAACGGATCTTCATGGGAAGGGGAAGTGCACCAATGCAGTCAGCTGCAAGGCAGGCTTTACGAAGGGTGGAGTCGGGAAAGCCAAAGTCTTGACGATCAGAAGTGTATATTCTGGTACCCAGGGTGTCCAAAATCAAAGTGAGGGACATTCCTGGAAATTGCTCCTGAACTGCTTTTCTAGCTGCAGTGGTGGTACCCCAGACGCTGGATTTTGCATCGTTAAGTTGTTGCCCATTGAGGGAGTCCCAAAGTTTCGTGAGTTGAACAGCGTGATCGAGATCAGCAAGGGCTTGAATGCGACACCATAGGTAAGCGTCATCTACATATGCTCTGACTGTGATAGTGGGAAAATGCTCCAAAAGATGGAACCACACTTTAGTGTGAACATTAATAGCAATGAGCGAAAGTGAGCAGCCCTGTGCCACTCCATTGGCCGCTGTGGTAGGTTTGGGCGAGACCCACCCTTTATAGCACATGTGTCTATGCAAGCCACGATAGAGTTTAGTAAAGAGATTAACGAGCCCTTTCGGGAGTCCAAAGGCCAAGAAAAGAGCAGAGGCATGGGATGGGATTATTCTATCAAAGCACTTGGCTTTATCGAGTTTGATCCCCACAAGGCCTTGATCTTGCGACTTGGCTTCATCAATTTCCAAACGAAGTGCGGTATGCAGCATAGGCATGGTGCGACCCTTGATGCCCCCAATGATGCCGGATGGCATAGTAGTACGCTGCCAGTCCTGGAGTTGTTCATATCTGGCTCCAGTGTAGCTCAAAATCAAAGCAGGCAAGATCGAAATGAGCCGCTTGTTCATGGCAGTGGCAAGACCTGGTTTGTGCAAAATAATCTGCTTGGTACAGGTGAGCATTTTGGGAAGCTCATCTCCAAAGGAGTCCTCCGCCCACTGAAAGAATTTGGCGATTGGAACAAAGGCTGAAATGGGGAGAGCCTGCAGCTCAACAGTGCGCCAACCATCTAATCCAGGGGCAGCATTCTTTTTCCTCCTATGGATAACACGGAAAAGAGCTTTGGCATCGATGGGGGGGGATGGATGCTTCATGTATTTTGCCAGCAATATAGGGCCAAACGGTCTCCAGCATTTTAAGTGGGTGCTCATGAAGGGTGTTGGTACCATAAACAGAATCCCACTTATCGTTGAGGAATTGAATGGCTTGATCCGGCTGGTAAATGATGTTTTGCTGCTCATCAACAATTAGATTCGGGGGCTCGTCAATCATTTTGTTTTTGAGGTGTTGGAACACATACTTGCAACCTTTTTGTGAGGACTCACGAAGGCGTTGCTTCCATCTATTAATGCGACTTCTTTTACAATCCAAGGTGTACTGTTGGATGGCCTGTGTGACCCAACATTTGACAGCTTGGATATGCACTAAAGAAAGGCTTGAGTCCAAAGGCCACTGCAACGGTGCTTTCAACTCCACAAGTGCCCTAGAGACCTTCAGGGAGGTTTGTCTGAAGATAAACCAATCCTGTGCGGATTTGTGACCACGAGAGTGCCGAACAAAAAGCTCATCAACCCGATTTTGAAGCTTGAACAAAATAGTGCTATGGCGAGTGGCAGCACATCTGTTCGAAAGCTGCGGAGGGCACACAGTTTTGGAAACAAATCTGGGCGGCTGAGCTCGAGTACGGTATCCTTCACCCCACGTCGCCCCTTGTCGAAGCAATTGTTGAATGCAGAATCTATTGACCATGTCCCAACGGTCATCGGGGGAAACAGCGAGATTGAATTCGGCATCCCAAGATTCCTCCCACTCGGGGGAGACGGGAACTGGAGAATCTTCTGCACCCTGTTGCACAGAGGGGAGGAGTTCATGAGGGATCCCAGACAAATCGAAGGGGGCACTTTTGTAATGCACATAGCCTACATGTGACAGGACATGCCAGTTGAAGGTGCATTCGATAGGTCTGTGCTGTTTTCCAAAAGTCTCGATAACCCTGCAGGATTTAAGGGCACAAAATGCAGTTTGATTGAGGGGAATGGCGTCAATTGAGGAACAAGCCTCACCCTGTCCTGAAAACAGACTATCACGTGAATAAGTCAGAGGGCGGTTCAAGGTTCCATCGTCATCGACTGTGCTAAGTGGGTCAGACCAGCCTTGTGAGTTCACAGCATGTGAGATTGAAGGATATGACAAGGGCAGTGATTGAAAATCTCCCGCGAGGATGATTGGGATTTCACCAAATTGGGCAAAGATCGTAAACAAGTCGGCAAACAGCAAATCATTTTGGTCGTGAAGAGACTGCTCTTGTGAGGCACCAGTGGTAGCATAAACTGAGCAAACCAGTGCCCGTCGGGAAGGTGAAATTT